ACTACTCACGAAATCAACCTTGTATAAGAGTGCATTTTATTGCAAAAGTGAACCATGGCAAAAAATATCCATATCCCTTTGGCTAACAATATAGCAGGTGTGTAAGTGAAAACCGAAAAACAGATTTGTTATTTGCAAACAATTTTCGACAGCACGTGATTTACATACAGTCAAACAGTGGAATGCCTTTGCGAGAGTAGGTTCCTTCAAATAAGCACAGGTTAAGATTCGACAGATCGGTTTGTTCATTCGTTTACTAAATGGTTGTCTTCCACAAATGCAAACTTGTGAAATTTATTCGTTAATTAAGCCCGAACGCAGGTGTACAACACGTGCGGCCTCAGTGCATCGTCAAGCTAGTCGGTCTAGCTGATACAGGCTTTCAATCTGGTATTTACGGGGTGATAGTACCGCATTCTGGCTACTCAAATAACGTGCGTGTGTGTGTGTGTGTGTGTGTGCGTAGTTTGGTCAGTTAGTCCCTGCGGTCTGTTCAAATGTCACGCGTGACTTCTGTGAACGGTATATGCATCGATTTACATAGCACTAATAAATACTAGCCGCTTGTGATTAGGGCAGAGTGGATTGGTCTTGGGTCCGTGCAAATTCGCAATACCTGTTAACTGTCTACCCGGGGTTCAATGGTAAAGGATTACTGTGTGGTCATTCCTCCTACTAAACATTGTGATGTGAGCTTGTTCGCTACTGTTTTTCATACAATGTGTCATGATGGTTTCAAGTCGGAAAATTGAAAATGAGGTGTGTTCGAACCTCGGACCTCAGTCGAAGCACTCGGTGCATGTGGAAAGCGAGTTTCGATCGATTTACAGGGCAATCAAGAACACATGTACCAGCAATTGCAACCAGTTGAATTCACGAACCCCTCCCCCTCCCCCCACTGACTCACTTCATCCACCTCAGCTGGTGTACAACCATTTGAACTTGTGACAGTGTGCACAACTTCACACAAACTCGCAATCCCGGAGGCATCTCTGAACCATTAGGTCTGGAATTTTTCATCCCGTTTTTGTCCCATTTAATGTAATGTAATGTATGGGTGTATTCTCAAAAATGAAACCGTTCTGAGGTGTGTAACATCAGTTGCGTAATTTTCTATATGTGCTACTGTGCTCATTCACTCGTGTGGACTCTTTACACCAGGTATTTTTATTGGTAATCGTGGTGGTTGGGGGTTGGGTGCCGGAACGTGGCCCACAGATCAAAACACTGTATAATCATAACGCTTTATCAACACAACAATTGGAGGACTGAAGGAAGCGGGAGTTTCACATGACACGAAGTAAAGCTCATTGAAGAGATCAAAGTGCCTACCTTTATCTATTATTCTATTGTCTAACTGAAGCAGACACCCAAGATCGAAGATAAATTTGAGTTGCTCATTGTTGTCAATCGAATAAGCCATAAAGAACTGTACAAGTTCCGTCGAATTAGCCTTGAGTGCAGTTGGTTAAACACCACTTGTCCAAATCGATTACCGTAAAATAATCAACTGGCGATTGACAGATGTGGTCAGCTTCCTGAGAAATTTTAATCCAGAGTGTTTTCTGCCCAAGCAGAGAGCAATGAGACTTTCTGAACTCGAGTAAATTTGTTCAAAGTTAGTAAATGCAAATTTCGTTTCAAGTCAGGGTAACCAATTTCACGTAGTCAGCGTTCTGTAGTCCAAAAAGTGTATCCCTTGACCGGTACACATATGGATGTTGTTGTTTTGACATCAAAACTCATCAAATAGAGATGGATTTGAATCGTACGATGTGCTGTATAGGCGGGTTGGGGGGGTGGTCAAACGGAGACCTGGTATGAGAGTATGAAAACTGTAACCAGGAAACTTGATCACATAGGTCCCGTTATGCTCCTTGGATGAGGACCCCGAGATCATGGTAACCGGTGGTTAGGGGAACTAAGCAATACGGCTGGGTGTTACAAACAGTCATGCTCATGCATCTATCCACCATCGTCACCGGTGGTTAGAGACAGTGAGACAGTGTCGTAAACAATGGTGTTCGTGCATCTTCTCAATTTCTTTGCAACCTTAGTCCACTGAAACTCTCCATTTTCTATTCGATTCTACTTTCAACCTTCCTGTATTCCTTCCTCCCACTGTTCATCCAAATGGGTAGCTTAAAGACAGCAACCAAAACCGGCACACGAAAGTGCATGGTTAATGGTTGGATAAATTGAAACTGATCTCCGGATGGATGGCGGTGACGGTTACCAAATTGTCTTTCCCCTCCCTCCCCCCCCCCACCCGTTTTCCTCGGGGGGACGTATTTTCGAATCCTAACTGTTTTAAGTCAGGCCTTGGAATAGAGACTTACCCTTTCTAAAAATGGTATATCGTTATATGTATTCACTAAAAGGAAGTAAAATGAATAGAGCGTTAGATCAGTCGGATATGGGTAACCTAATTCGTAGGTCAACAGACCGAGGGGATACCGAGGGCCGGGAAGAACCCATTTCTTGTCATCGTCCTCGGCTAAGTGCTCCGATCGCACGCCCACACGATAAGAGAGCAATAAGAGGAGCATCAGCAGATCTGTGCGCACATGCGCAAGCCTGTGTGTGTGTGTGTATGCGTGTGTGTATCATGCGCGCGCACGCACGGCATGAAAATTATCGGCTGGTGGATTTCAACTTAGCTTTTTGCTCATATGAATGAACAGCACGTTATGCTGATTGCTCGGGATCAGGTAATGCTGATCACAGGTGCACGCACAACTCCCTGATAAACATGTGAGCCCGGGTTAACTGATGATGATCAGTTTTAGGGAATCATATTTTATATGCATAAAATATCTGATAATCCATCTTGCACAATAACAAGCTCAGTCACAGCTCACAATCAGCAGGTGCGGAGAAATTTTCGCTTTGCCTAAATATCCTCAATGCTGGACGAAGCAAAGCATTAAAAGAGCAAACCATTACCAACTGGACCGCATATCAGTGATCCACGATTTTCCGGAATGAAACCAACGTGATTTGGTTTTCAAACAAACACAAAACATGTGGTTCGGCAAAAATGAACACTTGCGCAGCTGGGATGTAAGCTATAATTTACAGTTTTATTGAAATAATGCACGTGGTACGAGAATTGAGAAAAGAGATCCAGTCTGCCGGGCGAGTGAGTCGCAAACAAACTGCCAAACAGTCCCGGGATGTGCTCTTTTCCGGACGTGTGTGTATATTATCAACAGAAATTGATCAATGGTTTACCATAGTAGTTGGAGCATTTTATTGTTGTTTTACCAAAGATCAATATCGCTATGATATGTAAAACCTCCCAAAGTCTCCGGGGGGGGGGGGTAAGTTAAACAGCAAACAGCATGCTTAAACGGACTCCGGTAATTACATTACGTAATCTGTGCTCACTATTAAAGGTCATAAAACACAATCCGCCGAAACAACGTATCAATCTCCAATGCCTGTAGGAAGTATTCGGGAGATATGAAAATGAATTAAATTGACCATTTTTTAGTTCTATTCCTCTTGCAAAACATTCACTTCATCCTAGTAACCAAACAGTCAAGGAACGGTCGACTCGAGTTTCTTTCTCATTGAATCTGAATAATTGTGAACTAAGTGCGAATTAAAATACACCTTAGCAGGCGAAATTCGGATGATTCGTAGGAATTAGTAAAGAGGATCTGATTTGACATAAAAGGGCTTGGTTGGTGACAACGGATGATGTAGCGTTTCCCGCAGAGGCTGTCAAGCATAGATCGTGTCTGTGCGCGGGTTCAAATCCCACCGCGGCTGCTGAACTTTTCACAATTTCAACACAAACAGGAATCAGAAAATCTGACTAGACGCAGCATGAGCCGATTTTTTTATTACACACTTGAGTGTGATGAGCAGCAGACATGGCAAACCCCATAGCCAATTGGACCCGCTGTTCAGTGATGGAAACCATCAACCTAAGCTCCGGGACTTGGTGTGGCAAACCACAAGGCCCCAATAAGTTAGATGTGGTATTGAACCGGAAGACAGAAAAGCTGTCTACCACCAAAGTCGGGTGGCGGTGGCTGAGCTCGAACCTCGGACCATAGAGCCCAAAGCATGCCGGTGACAGCGACTATACTACAGCGCCACCACACAAGCCTTCTGTGTGATGGAATTGAAGATCAAATCACGGACGGAACTGCAAACGTGCACTACTTATGAGTCTTAATGAGAGCGAAACTCGGGCGTAGCGCCTCCAAAGTGTATAGTGAGCTAAATTAAATTTATATTGTGCCTGAAGACGCGATATGAGATATGGTCACTCAAAATCTATATGAATGCACTGGAGATAACGGTCGGTATTCTGTCGAATCTTATTCGCTATTCAGGATAACATTGTCCACAAATAGGCTATCCACTCATTTTTGAAGCTAATCTAAAACAGTCATGATAACTGATGGGTGAGGAATGCAAGACGCTGGTAGCGGGCATTAAGCAAACGGGATATACCGCAGACTTTGGCATATCTCAAATAGTTCCCAAGGTATTTGGATGAAACTTTACCGGGTTCTTAAGTGCTTGATACGCTCCGTTCAACTGACTCTCGCCGTTTTATTATCTGACGTTTCGTACGCTTCTCCACGTTCTCAAATCGCGTTTACTCTTAGCACGTAAATCATCTGATCACTTCAAACATCGTGCCACCACCAGCTTGGGGTTAGACATTTCAATCAAGTCTCACAGAGAGAATAATTTATTTTGGACGCCCAACTCAGCTCATGAGTTCATAATACACGTAATAAAAGATTCACTCGTTTCCTCGATATCAGTTCCTAAGCAGCTAAAATTAATACTTTTTGTTTTCTGTTCTACTTCGATAATTTTCTTTCAATCCATGGTTACTATGGAGCCGTATGGAGCCGCATTTATTATTGTCATATATATAAAAAAAATATATCTTCACAGTAAGAGAGAGAATTCATGGGATACATTTAAGGAGAGAGAGAGAGAGAGAGAGAATGAGAAACGAAACAACTCACCCGCATCCCATCATCATTGACAAACTCCAAATCGAAATAGTCCGCCTCGAGCAAGTGAAGGCGTTCAATCATGGACGCGTAAAGTTCCAATCCAGTTGCATGCACCTATTGCAGGTGGCGGGATCGGAGTCGGGGGAGAAACCAAACAAAATGTATTTGATTATGACACTAACGTGACCCTGAGGACGAAAGCAATGATTGCTTGAATCACCGGAGTTCGAATTCTTGTAGAATAATCCGTTCCTAATTCTCACGAATACTATTCAGTAATTTGTTTTATTTAGACAAATTCATACATAATGGACAACATCTGTGAAGAACTCAAAGGATTTCAAATGGATCATCAGTATCCAGATTTATCGCCGAAGTAAAGATTTAGCAAATGAAGTAGGCGGTACTACCGATAGCTTGACGACACCTCTTTCAGTCTGAAAAGGTTGGAACTAGACAGAAAAAATCAAAAAAATGAATAAAACAATGTCGAGGAT